CTCCTCCTCCTCCTCCTCCTCCTCCTCCTCCTCCTCCTCCTCCTCCGTACCAGTTTGGCTCAAGCCATTTTGGCTCAAGCCGTTCTGGCTCTTGCGGGTGGTGGCTCGCAGAGCTTCCGCAGGCGCATTTCAGAGCGGCTCGTCTGCGGGGAGCCATGTCCGGGCTGTGAGCAGTGAGCAGCGCGGGCGGCGACGAGGCGATGGAGAAGGTGGCCTTCGGCCAGCCACTCTTCATCGCCCGCCGCGGGCATGTGGAGCTCGAGGTGTACTCGTACAGCGTCGCGGACGCGATGGTTGCCGGTTTCTTCGCTGGGGCAGCGGAGGGCGAGTGCGAGGTCTTGGGAGGAGGCGCTGGGCCAGGCCCAGCGGTCGAGGTCTTCATCGGGGACCTCCCGGCCATCCAGGAGTGCGGCGAGGGCACGGACGAGAAGTGGTTGCAGGACTGCGACGAGCTTCCTCCCGTCTCCACCTTCCCAGCGCTGGAGGTGACGACGGTGCAGAGGTGCGTGGGCTGCGAGGCGATCGAGGCCACCGCCGGGGTGCCGAGCGTCGCGGGCCCCAGCGACGAGGAGAAGGTGATCAGACCGGAGTTCGGAAGCGGGGTCGGCGCTGGCGGCGCGGGCCTCGAGGCGGACTCCGAGTGGGTCGAGGCGACGGCGGAGGTGCCGACGGTGCTGCACACCAACATGGGGCAGCTCGGGGTAGGCAGCGCGAGCAGGGACATGCTGGAGTTCGTGAGCGGGGTCGACATCAAAGACGTCGGGGACCTTCCCACGGAGACGATCAAGCGGGAGGACTAGCTGGACCATGCCGCTGGGGAGGCCCGCGTTCCCGAGGAGACGGTCAAGCTGGAGGACGACCACATGCCGCGGAACGAGTTCGCGGTCCAGGCGGTGGTCGCGCGCCCTGGTGGATGCGGCCGTGCAGGGCGGGGTGCCGAGCGCAGGAGTGCGGCGGAGCTGGGAGGTCACGGCGGAGGCCAACCAGCTGACGCACGCGAGGGCGGCCGCCGCGGCGGCATGCCGTCACGCCCAGTGGCGGCATGAACATGACGAGCTCGAGGGCGTTGCGGTGCCCGCCCGCTCCGAGGAGGTGCAGCAGTTCGAGGAGCTGGTCGTTGAGGGCTCCTTCGAGGTGCATTCGTGGCCGAGGAAGGGGTCCGACGGGATCGCGACGACCAGGTGCATCGTGAAGGCCGGGGGCGGCAACATCGCTCCGCTCACGGCCGACCGTGACCTGTGGCGGCCTGGATGGCAAGCCGACGGTGAGGAGCTTGCCCCTCCTCTGCCCTTGGCAGCCGAGGTTGCGGAGGGCCGCCAGTGGCTGCGTTCCAGCTTCGGCCCCTACTCTCCTTGGGCCAAGTGGGCGAGCCGTGTGCGGCGGCGCCAGAGGTTCAAGGGCTGAGTGGGCGGTGGCTGTGTAGTTGCTGGGCTCGGCTCGAGGCGCTGGCGTCTTTCTGGGGGCGGCCTGGGGGCTGCTTCGTTATGGGGGCGGCCCGGGGGCTGCTTCGTTTGGGCCGCGGGGTCCTGGGTGCTGCCCTGGGGGCTGCGTTCGGTTGCCCGTGGGTCTCTGTCCCCGCGGGGGTGGTGGGGCCTTGGCCACGGTTCTCCCCTCCTGGGAGGTCCGTCCCTTGGGTGCACTTGTTTGGCGTGGACCTCGGGCTCCTCGTCGCCACTCCCGCTTGCGAGCCGCGACGTCGGCAGGTGGACTTTTGCCCGATCATCCCTATACCATACCATACCTCCTCCTCCTCCTCCCTCCTCTTCCTTCTCCTCCTCGTCCTCCTCCTCATCCCTCCTCCTCCTCCTCCCTCATGATCCTTCCTCCTCTCTCCTCCTCATTCTCCCTCCTCCTCCTCCTCCTCCTCCTCCTCCTCCTCCTCCTCCTCCTCCTTCTCCTTGTCGTCCTCCTCCTCCTCCTCCCCTTCCTCTTCCTTCCTCCCTCCCTCCTCCTCCCTTCCCCCCCACCTCCTCCTCCTCATCCTTTTTCTCCTCCCCCTCCTCGTCGCCCTCCTCGTCGTCGTCCTCCTCCTCCTCCTCGTCCTCTTCCTCCTCCTCCTCTCTCCTCCTCCTCCTCCTCCTCCTCCTCATCCTCACTCCCTCCTCCTCCTCCCCCCTCCCCCCTTCCTCCTCCTCCTCCCTCCTCCCTCCTCCTCCCCTCTCCTCCCCCCCCTCGCTCACCTCCGCCCCTCCGCCCCCTCCTCCTCCTCCTCCTCCTCCTCTCTCCTCCTCCTCCTTCTCTCTCCTCCTCCTCCTCCTCCTCCTCCTCCTCCTCCTCCTCCTCTCCTCCTCCTCCTCCTCCTCCTCCTCCTCCTCCTCCTCCTCCGTCTCATCCTCCTACCTCCCTCTTCTCCCTCCTCCTCCTCTTTCTCCTTTCTCCTTCTCCTCTCATCCTCCTCCTCCTCCTCCTCCTCCTCCTCCTTCCTCCTCCTCCCCCTCCTCCTTCTCCTCCTCTCCTCCTCCTCCTCCTCCTCCTCGCTCTCCTCCTCCTTCTCTCTCCTCCTCCTCCTATCCCTCCTCATCCCCAACCTCCTCTCCTCCTCCTCCTCCTCCCTCCTGCCTCCTACTCCTTCTCCTTCTCCTCGTTCCTCCTCATCCCTCCTCCTACCTCCTCCTCCTCCCCCACTTCCCCTTCCTCCTCAACCTCCCCTTACCTCCTCTTCAGCTCCTCCCCCTCCTCCTCCTCTTTCCTCCTTCTCCCATCCTCCTCCCCCCTCTCCTCCTCATCATCACCATCCTCATCATTATTATCATCGTCATCACCATCATCATCAGCCTCATCATCATCATCATCATCATCATCATCATCATCAGCCATCATCATCATCATCATCATCATCATCATCATCATCATCTCGACCACCATCATCATCTCATCATCATCATCACCATCACCATCACCATCATCATCATCATCATCATCATCATTATCATCATCATCATCATCATCATCATCATCATCATCATCATCATCATCATCATCATCATCCTTTTCCTTCTCCTCCTCGTCCTCCTCCTCCTTCTCCTCCTCCTCCTCCTCCTCCCTCCCTCCCTCCCTCCGTCCTCCTCCTTGTCCTCTTCCTTCTCCTCATCCGTTTCCTCCTCCTCCTCCTCTCTCTCTCCTCCTCCTCCCCTCCTCCTCCTCCTCCTCCTCCCTCCTCCTCCTCCTCCTCCTCCTCCCTCCTCCTCCTCCTCCTCCTCTTCCTCCTCCTCCTCCTCCTCCTTCTCCTCCTCTTCCCTCTTCCTCCTCCTCGGGTCACCTGCGGCCCCGGGGGAAGCCGTGCACGCCCGGCCTTTCCCTCCCTCCGCGGACCTGGGTTTGGGAGCTGCGTCGTGGGCAGGGGGGGGTCGCGAGCTGGCTTTGCGCAGCGCTGGCCGGGGTCAGCGCATGCCCGACGAGATGGGGACGGAACACACCCTGGCGAAGGGCCCGGCCATCTGTGGCTGAGAGTATCGCGAGGCAGGTGCGCCGAAGTGGGTGCTGTGCCGCCACGCGGACGCTGCCACCGGGGCCTTCGGCGGAGCTCCCCATGGGGCCGCGAAACCACGGACACGAGAGGCCGACAGGCGTTTCCGCCCATGCTGAACCAGATTCGGTGTCGGCGTCGCCGCCGAGGTTGTCCACGCAGGACTCGTCGCCGCCCAGACAGCGGCCGCTGTCGGTGCGGGGTAACTGCCGCAGGCGGGCACCGTCCCAGCGGTTCCCGTCCCACTTCGGGCATGCCGATCGCACGAGGTTTGGATCCCGTTTCTTTGAGAAAGTCGGCCACCCAGACTTCCACGCGTGGCGACGAGGGCGCCCTAGGTCGCTCAGAAACAGTCGAGCTCGCCGATATCGTCCCTCCTCCTGCCATTCTCCTGCCATTCGCCATTCTCCTTGGCAGGGCAGCTGATGAGCAAGCAGTCTGGCACGTACTGTGCCTACAAAGACGGCCAGGCCATCGGCGACGTTCGCGAGGCACCACCTCGAGGGGGAGGGCATGAGGAGGAGCGGAGGATGAGAAGGAGGAGGGGGAGGGGGAGGAGGAGGAGGACGAGGACGAGGAAGAGTGCATTTTTTTTGGGTGGGGGGGACGTGTTCCTAAGCATACGATTTCCTCATTGTGACGTTGGTAAGTGAGCGACGCAGAACAACGGGTTCATCTGTGAAGGCACTGGCGCGTAAGCTTCCAGCGTGAGGCCGCGCGTAAGCGCCTCTCTCTCCACACGGTGTGCCACGCGTGCGGCCCCCGTAAGCCGCGGCGTCAGGACGCCATGACATCTTGCGTAAGAGAGCCTTCTCTGTTCATTTCTCAAGTGTCGAGCTTTGAGAAACCACTGGAGACCTTCCGTGTAGGAGAAGGCGGAGGAGGATTGAGGGAGGTGGGAGGATGAAGAGATGGAGGAGGAGGAGGAGGAGAAGGAGGAGGAGGAGGAGGAAAAGGAGAAGGAACAGTAGACGGATGAGGAGGAGGATGGATGGAGGTGGAGAGGGAGAAGAAGACGGAGAAGGAGGATTGAGGATAGAGGGAGGTGGGAGGGTGAAAGGATCAGTGAAGGGGAAGGGCGGAGGAGGGAGGAAATACAGCGAGATCTGTCCTGTCAACAAGGCGGAGGCACGGCGGAGGCCAGCGAAGTGGGACGCATAATCGTCGGAAACGCGCAGAGGGGGCTCAGGGGGAGGGGGGAAGGCTTCTTAGAAGAACCCCTGCTACTTAGAAGGCGCGGACCTTGTTTATAGATGTACACACCAGTCGTTGAACGTACGTAGGTAATTTTGGATCCCCAGATCTCAATCTACTTCAAGCGCTTTCCTACTTCAAGAATCGATATGCCTTTGCTGTGCTTTGTTATTATCTGGGGGGTGCCTGAACCAAGTCTACTTGATCAGCCTTCCTCTACTTCATGTTCTTTTGTCCCACTTGTTCCAACCGACGCGTACAGTCAAAAACCCGAATAAGGACGCGCGACTTTGCTCAGGGTACCCTTGTGTCCTTGCTCTTCCTTGCTCTTGCGGCTCGTCCTTGGCCTCTTTCTCTTGCCCGCTTGTCAGGGTACCCTTGGGGTGTTCGTCGTCCGCCGCCCCAGAAATCCCAACTTCGGCTCCCAAGGGTCTTGCGTCCTTACCGCGCGTCCTTATTCGGGTTTTTGACTGTATCCGCCTTCCTGCTTCATGCTTTTATACCTACTTGTTCCAACCGACGTGCAGGTCCGGCGCCTTCTGAGCAGCAGCTTCCTTCTAAGAAGCCTTCCCCCTTCCCCCCATACCCCCTTGTGCGCGACGCCAGCTTCGGGCCCTCCCGTGCCGACAGGAGGCGAGAATGGAGTGTTGGGCCATCCCCAAAGGCCGGAGGAGGATTTTTTTTTTGCATGCACCGCGATGCAGCCCACGTACACCGCACCAGGGTGGGCGAGGCCCTGGGGGGTATCTCCTGGCCCACATCCACAGAGAGGACGGGCCAGGGAGGTGCGCCCTGCACTGTGCAGACAAGGGCTCACACCTCACAAATGGCAAAACGTCGTCAAGTCGACGGTGACTCCATTCTTCTTAGGATGAAGCCCCTTCTTCAACTTGACCCACGGATTGCTGTATGCGGCCACCTTGTGTGGCTCACACTTCCTGTCGGGATTCCGTAGCTGTCCTCCCGACGTCATATAACCGCACTTGTGGCAAATACACAAAAAGGAGCCGTCCGAGCAGTCGAGCAGCACGCAAAAATGACCAAGCTCACGCAGCCTGGTCGGGGACACCTTCAGAACAGCGTCGCACCTCCCCCACGGGGGCACGACAGAGGGGCGGCCACGCTTGCCCCGCAAACACTCAGCGCACTGCCAATATTTGCCCACCCAGCTCCACTGGTGGACCTTCTTGTCCTCTCCCTGCCGACGCTCAGCAGGGGGAGGAGGGATAAACTGGGCGTGGGGGCCCAAAGACAGTCTCGGCCACAGCGCAAGGAGCTTCGCTCCTAGGCGGCCCACAGCTCTGGCAACAGCAATATCGCGATCAAGACCCTCGAGCTCGGACCCCGACGGCATGGGATGCAAGAATACCGCTTCCTTGGCCGTCAAATCAGCCCATTCGTTGCCTTGCCGCAAGTACCGATCACTGTCGTCGGTGGCAGCCTGAACGTCCTGGTGGGCCTTGACTTTCTCTAAGTGCACATTCGACCAGTGATTTCTTAAATGCTGGGCCACACCACTGTACATACGCTTGGCAGAAGCCATCTCAGCCAAGGCAACCGAGAGAAGTCAACACAGCCTTGGCAGTCGGAATAAATAGTGGAAGGGCCTGTCGCCCACTGAACCGCAACAGACATGGCGTGATATTCAGCCGCCTGCGGCGTCTGGGGACAGGGCGCCCAAACTGGGGACCGTTAACTCGCACCACAGCATTGCCAGTTTCCTTCGAGACGACCACGATAGCCCACCCCGCTCTGTTGAGGTCCCCCACGAGATGTCGAGTACACGAGCCATCGACGAAAAGGTCGCCCTCGAACCACTCTTTGATGTCACCCCCTCCTCCGTCCAAATCACCTCGATGCCCCCAGACGTGCACGGCTGCGGGAAGTCGGAGGGGTGGGGGAAGACCCCGTAGCAGGCCAAATTGTCGTCGGCCTTAGCTGCCCATTCTTGCACTCCTGTTTAACTAGAGCATCCCTAAGCTCGACCACCTCGGGGCAACGGCACTCCCATAGGCGGTGTCTAAGGGTATCTAAGCCATCCTCGCACGGCGGGCACACCGTCGTGGGCAGCACGTAACCTAAGCTTGCGGCACGCTGACGGGCGTAAACCGCTTGGCAAAATAGCGAACGGAGGCAGCCTTTCTGATACATGGTGTACTTAGAGCTTTTGAGGTAACTAAGGACGGGCTCCACACAAGCCCTGCCCTTCAGATCAAGCCTGGCCCCCAGGTCCCACTCGAGCCCCCTCAGAACAGCCTTGCGCAGGAGGGACCGAACCAGCTGGGGCGAAACCTCGGTGAGCTTAAGCTCCTCCCCCAGGTCCGTAACCAAGACCCCAAAGGCAGGCATGCTCCAGGATATACGCTCCAAGGACTTCCGCATGGCGGAGATGGGGCCAGACACACTTCGCCACAGCGGGGATTCGCCCTCGAACCCCGCTTGCCACGCAGCTCTAAGCTCGGCCAGGGGCAACGTGTGGCTGTGCAATCGATGATGCGCCCACCACACCTCCTTAGACCATCGGATGATGGGGGCAACACACGCATACCAGCACGGCTCCCCGTGCGCAAGCAGCAGGGCCGTCAACGATCGGCCCTTAGCTGACGGCTGCAGAACCTTTCCCGCCTGACGCCTGTAGGTCAGCAGCTCAAAATCACTGACCCCATGGACCTCGGACCCAAACAACTCGGCGGCGAGCGCCCCCGACGCGAAAACATTTCGGGCCACACGACCCCCGACAGTGGGCCTCAAACGGGCCAGCCGAGAAACAAAACCGACCGTCTTCCTCCCCTGTTTTTTGTGTTTGCAACTCCTCCCGCTCTGACCCTCAGCGTCGAACGTGCAGTTTGGATCCAGGTGTTGTGGAAGTAGTGGTGCGCGGCAGTAGTAGCAGCACCCACGGCGGACTTTTTGCAGTTTTGGACAGCTGACCGATACCAGTTGGGGTCGTGGGCGCGCCCCTTTGAACAAAAACAAAAAAAAACTTCCAATGGCGAGGGGGGCTCCTGCTGGGGGGAGTGACCCCCGCTGGCCCCGAAGGCCAGCCCCACGAGGTGGATGTCTGCGGGGAGGGGGGCGTCGCAGCCGCCGTCCTCGGCCTGGTCGCCATCATTTTCTTCTTCTTCTTCTTCTTCTTCTTCTTCTTCTTCTTCTTCTCTTTCTCCATCATCTTTATTCGGTCGGGCATGTCCCTGTACAGGAGGAGTATGCAAAAATAGTCAGAACATAGTCCAGGGACTATTTTTCGGCACCTTTGAATACATTGGGGCATTTTGTTCTGCTATTTTTGCTTCCTTCCACAAACCGCATGTAGGAGGATATGGCCGACCTAACACTATTACCGTCGCCATCGCCGTCGTCGTCGCCGCCGCCGCCGTCGTCGGAGCCGGGCCGCCGTCGTCAGCGGCGCTGGGCTGGCGTCACTATCGGCGCTGGGCTGGCGCCACCGTGGTCGTCGGCGCGCGCCCCCCTCGGAGGTGCTGGTGGTCTGCGTGGACCTCGCGGCCGGCCCCGGGGCCGAGGCCGCCCTGAGCGACGGCGAGCTCAGCGCCGCGGAGGAGACGCCCGAGCGCAGGCCGCCGAGCTCGACGACGACGACGACGACGGCGACGACGACGACGACGACGACGACGGCGGCGGCGGCGACGGCGACGACGACGACGACGGCGGCGACGACGACGACGACGACGACGGCGACGGTGGCGACGGTGGCGGCGGCGGCGACGGCGACGGCGGCGGTGGCGGCGGCGGTGGCGGCGGTGGCGGCGGTGGCGGCGGCGGCGACGGCGACGGCGACAACGACGACGACGACGGGGGTGGTAGCAGCCCCACCCCGCCAAGTCGATCAGCGAGTCCGCCTCTGGGCACAGGAGGGCCAGGTGGGGAGAGGCAGCGGCAGTCCAGGCTTCGTGGGGGCGCCCTCGCCTCCGCGGAGGGAGGCAGCCCCTCGGGAGCTGGGTGCGTGCGGGCCCCGAGAGGGGCTGGGGATCGAGTTTGAGCTGCCGTTGCCTTAGCTCACCCAGGGCTCGAGCTAAGACCAGTGTTTTGGCGAGCTCGTGGACCGTTCTCCTTTGTCGCCGAGGGAGAACGGGAACAGATCGAAAACAGAAAGCACGCTTTGGCCCGAGCCCTGAGTTCGCCCTGCTTTGGCGTGGCCCCTGATGCGCTCCGCGTGCCGGGTGGGAGGCACCAGCGCGGACCCGAGACATCCGCACGTACCTCCGAGCCCCGCGAGCCATTTGAATCTGCCGATTCGAACAGATTCGGTTTCGAGGATTCCGATTTCAATGTGATTCGACTCTGGAGTCCGATTTTGGTTTGGATTCCTCGTGCATGCCTCGGCCAGGGCCGGCGTTCGCCGGTTCCGGTGTTGTCCGTCCTGCCTGGCGATTCCTACCGATGCAGTGCTTTTCGATGGCCGATCAGATTTTTCCGATTCGATCTTGGGCCATCCCGCAATTTCAGCTCAGTTTCTCTTGAAGTCCACACCTACCTAGTCTCGCATTCTGGGTACATCAGCCCCGCCTTCGCCGTTTCACTCGACCATGAATGCACCTCTGACGTGCGCGCCTTGCCCTTTTCACAGACCACCACCTGATTTGGAGATCTTCAGACATACGACCTTGCATTTCAGGTCTGTTGCGCTGGGATTTAATCAGTATCGTTCAGCCGACCCGTATCCCCATCCTCATCTCCACCCAGAGATCCCGCCATCTCAGCAGCCCAGTTGGGGATGTACCCCTCGAAACCCAGAGGAGACAGCCTATATCGCCATTCAGCATCTGGCGAGGTAAATCGGCCAGTGGGGCCCAGGCCACGCCAGTGTGGAGAAGGGGTCGTTTAAAGGATGCTCAACAAGCCCGCCCAACCCTGCTGGATCGACTGGCGAAGCCGCCCGTGGGGTGCTGTCTGGCTCTCGAGGGGGGCAATTACTTGCGCCCGCCGCCCCTGTGGGCCACCGCGCCCGGCTCGGGGCCCCTTGGGCGCCTTGCCACCTTGGGGGGCGCTTCTGCGAGAGGAGATCGATTCGATCGATCGATCGGCCGAATCGAGTCGATTCGTTGTCGATTCGATTCGATCGACTGGATCCGATCGATCGAATCGATTCGATGTCGATTTGACTCGATCGATCGCGTAGCCCGCCCCCGCCGGCGCCCATTCCGATCCGATCGATCCGAACCGATGTCGAGCGCACCCAGCTCGATCCGGCTCGACGGCGATCTCTCCCGGCGATCCAATGCGGGCCGATGGTTCGCACGGCGTTGCGCTGTGCATCCCGGCGCTGCGGCTTCGGTTCGGTCTCGATGCCGGGAAGGCGCGGCGCATTCCGACGCTCAAGTTGGGCACGTTCCTCTAGAGACTGTTTTTTAGGGTCTGGCGATAACCCAGGTTATCGGGCTTGCCCCCCTCCCCCCCCTCCAGGATAACCTAACCTTGACGGTTGTGCAGGTCCGGGGTGGGGGGGCGCGGGCATATGCAGGGCTGCCCACAGCGCGAAGGTTAGGTTATCGGCCGGCCCCCACTTCCCCCCCCATGGATAACCCGGTATATCGCCGATTCAAAAAAACGGTCTCTCACAGGAGGAATATTCAAAAATAATGAAACAAAAGTGTGGGGACGATTTTCTGAGTATTCTGGAGTATTTTTGAATATTTTTATTGTATTTTTCATGTTTCGTCCAAGATCCGCCTGTAGGGGGTCACGCCCGACCTAACCTTAGAGTACACCAACGTGCGTCAGCTTCTGGGAGTCGATGGGAAAGCGCCGATCTGTTGCGTCGACCTCGCGTCGATTGATGTCGACCAGCGTCGGACCGCGCCGATGCGCAAGAGCCTTCATGGGGGGCTCCGATGATCGGTTGTTGCTAGAAGTGCCCCTGGCCCAAGGTACCCCCCAGGATCTCCATGAAGCACCCCACGGCCTCCGGCGCACCCCGCACGAGGCTCGGAGGGCCCCAGGGGCTCCAAAATCGAGTGAAAAGCTGGGGACACCGTGGGCCAGAGGTAATCGCAGGCCTACAGGTTGACACCAACACCAATATCGGCGGCGTGCCGCCACCGAGGGACGAAGATCCCGATCTCAGTGATGGTGGTAATTATGGCTTCCAGGATGACCGAACTATTACCCCCAACACCGAAATCTAGGATCATCTTCCCCGCGTGCAGGCAACCCCTTGTGTTGGTGATGGTGCCCATTTCCAGGCCTTCAACTTTAGCAGCCCACGACGTGAGTTGCCAGCGAGGGGGGTCTTCGCCATACTGGGGCTTCTCGTCGGGCCTCGCTGGCCCTTTGGGCTCCGGGGGCCTCGGGCGGACGGCCAGCGGGGGGGGGGAGGGGCGTGCGCGTGTGGGGGGAGCGAGGGGTGCAGGAGAAGAAGGAGAAGACGCCGCGCACGCCACACAGTGGGGGCGCGCCTCAAGAAGCCATATGCTGTTCGTCAGGGCACCCTGGGTCTCTCCGCTCCTCGCGCTGCGCGGTGACTCTCCCGCAGCCGCTGAAGGAGCTGCTGCCTTCAGGGTGGTCCAGGTTTCCCTTCAGCTGCACCTCGCGCGCGGGTCTTCAGGGCTGGGGTTCTCGCGAGGGCTTCTTGCGGTCACGCCCGCACTGTGTTGCCGGACCGAGGTACAAAGATCGAGGTCGCTTCGGGGAGGGCATCTTATTGGTATTTTTTGGTGCTTGGTGGACGTCCTCGTGCATCCTGGGGGGTGGGGGGCGCCCTCGAACGCTCTTCAGTTTGGGCCGGCGGAGGGTCTCATGTTCTTGAGGGATGCTTTTGTGTCCCAGGCCCGGCTGTGATTATTCTGTGTCGGCCACGCGCAGGAGGGGGTAGGGGGAGGGGGAAGGCCTCTCAAAGGCACCCCTGCTTCTAAGAAGCCTCCCCCCTCCCCCGGCCCCTTTCCGCGCGCCGCCGCCAAGAGTGGCCCTTGAAACGGGGGGTTGCCCTGGACGGCCCGACGGGCTGCCGCTACGCCCGCCCCCAAGCAAAGTGCGCGGCGGGCGCACGCCTGTTGTGCACTCCGCGCGGACAGACACCCGAGGGGTCGTCACGACACGGTCCCCCAGGAGGGATCGAAAGGTAACCCATCGGTCGTTGATAGGAGGTGTTTTCGGAGTCCCAGATTCCACTCTGCTGTAGCCGCCTTCTTACTTCAAGAGTCGAGTGGTTTTCCCTTGTCCCTCCTCTTCAGGAAGCGGGCGGAAACCCCATTCCAACGCCTTCCTACTTCATGTTTCCACCTACTTCTGCCGACCGATGGGTAAGAGTGGGTCGTGTCTATCGACTCTAGCATGGCGTGTTCTCCCATAGAGCTCCGGGCTACATGTAGTGTGGGTGGGCGGCGGCCAGCGTCGCGGTTCAGACCCAATGTTGTTGTGGGAGGCCGAGGGGGGATCAGAACAAGGGGATCGATAGGTCCAGGTGGCTACGCGCATACGGCCGGACCGAGGTATAAGATCGAGGTCGGTTCGGGGAGTGTTCCCCAGTGATCTTCGTGTTTGCTGGATGTCCCTGTGCACCCTGGGGAGGGTACTCGTGGATGTTCTGTGCGTTCTGGCCGCCAGCGGGTCACGTGTTCTTGAGGGATGTTCTTCTGTCCCAGGTTCGAATTTAGGTCCAGGTGGCCACGCGCATACTGAACAATACCGGCGGCGGCGATGGAAGTTGCGGTCTCCTCAGCGCCTCCTGGGGCGCCCTCGTCGCCGGATCCGCCTCGGAGTTCTGGTCGGTACGCTCCCCAGGACAGGGCTGGGGGTCGACCTCCGAGACGACGACGACGGCCTCGCGTTCTGGCTTACGCGCATCCCCCCCTCCGCCCTCTGTCGCCACGGCTGGACGCGGCTCGGATGACTGGCCAGGATGGACCTCTGGTAGGGGTCCAGGGAGAGTGCTGCGTGCCTTTGAGGCCGAACTCGACCTCAAACAACGAACGCACAGCCTTGCGAGGTCGAGCTCGACATCAGCAGATCTCGGCGCCAACAGCTGCGCAGTCCTCTCTGGGCCGTCTCAGAGGGCGGCTGGACTTCTCGGAAGCCCTCGCGCCTTCTGATAAGTTTCCCGTGTCTTCGGGGAAGACTTCGAACATTTCTCAGAAGGCCGGGGCATTTACGATCCTTCTGAGGAGGCGCGCCCCTTCTCATTTCCCCCCCCAGAGCTCGCCGCCGATTCGAGGCCGCACTCGATCTCAAACAGCGCACAGCCTGTTGAGGCCGAGCTCGACTTCCGAAGACCTCGGCGCCAGCGGCTGCGCAGTCCTCTCGGGGCGATCCCGAGAAGTTTGGCCGCACGGCGGCGGCGGCGCAGCCGCGCGCGGAGGCCAGCGCCGCCACGCCCGGGCCGGCTGACCAGGGAGCAGGCGATCGGACTCCAGCAGGACGCTCTGGTCAAGCAGTGGCGAAGCGTCCTGGCGTTCCTATAGGTCGGGGATGGACAGACCTCCTACCCTGACACGTCGAGTAAGGAGTTCGCCGTGTTCGGTTCGCGAGAGGGCCTCGCGGCCGTCATGTTTGCGGGTCCAGGTCCGTCGGTTTCGTTCCCAGGCCGTTTTCACTAAGGGGGGGTCTACTAAAGGGAGGTTTGTCCACCGCCGAGTCAAGCAGTGGCGAAGCGTCCTGGCGTTCCTATAGGCCTACCAAACAAAGTTCTAAGAGCCTTGTGTGATTCGCACGAAAAGTTCTTAGAACAATTCGGGCTGAGACAGTTGGGACGGCCGGTCTCTGCTCCAAGGACGGGCCCACGCTTGTGGCATCGCTCGGGCGTGTATTTTTCTTTTCCCTCGGCGAGGACCATCGAGGGGCCCTTGGGATCGTCGCGCGAAAAGTACACGCACGGAGCCGGCAGCTGCCCGGGGAAGGGGCGTCCGAGCGATGGTGAGGGGAGGGGGGATAAAACGACGCGAAGATCGGGACAAAATCGGATCGGGATAACTCGAAACCTCTGAGAATCGGCGGGTTTGGAGGATGTATTGGGCGCCGCGGCCGCTCCAGAGCGTTCCGGAACGCTCTGAGAGCGCTCCGGAACGCTCTGGAGTGATTTATCCCGATCCTAGCTTTGTTTTAGGGGAAGGCTTCTTAGGAGCACCCCTGCTTCTTACCTCTATAGACAGGGCCCGCGCCTTCTAAGGAGCAGGGTGCTTCTAAACAAGGGACATCGAGCACCAAGAAAGTACCGAAACTCGAGGGTGTTCACTTGTCGAGCCCCAGGAGACGATACTCGTTCGGCACTTCGCTAGCGTGTCAGCCAGACAGTGGTTCTATGACGTTCTGGGTGCCCGAAATTTCTCCTGGGACGTAGTCCGTAAGTGCGATGGGAACAACATCAGTTTAGGGGGAGGAGGGAAGGCGTCTCAGACGCACCTGTGCTTCTTAAAAGCCGCGGGCCTTAGCCTCTTCCCTCCTCTTCCTACCCCTAGGTGCGCGCCGCCAGGAGGAGGAGTAGGAGGAGAAAGGAGGAGGAGGAGGAGGAGTAGGAGGAGAAAGGAGGAGGAGGCGGAGGAGAAAGGAGGCGGATCGGCTACGCTGTGACTCGTGCCCGGACGGGCGCTTCGCGATGATTTCGTCGTCTTTTGCCTCGGAATGCGTCCCAGCAGCTGCGCCTCGCGACAGCGCGCCCCTGGGGTGGGGTGCCCGCATTGTCGAGGCTCTCAGAGCGCGCCTCTGGCCCTGTTCGGGCACCCCGTGCCCCCTCCTTGGCCTCCTCCCAGACATCTCCTCCTCACCCTCCTCCTCCTCCTCCTCACCCTCCTCCTCATCCTCCTCCTCCTCTTCTTCTTCCTCCTCCTCCTCCTCCTCCCGGAGCCGACGCCTCCTCCTCCTCCTCCTGTTCCTCTCGGGGCTCCCGGAAGTCCCGACCCCCTCTCCCCGGGGCTGGCTCGTCCTCCCGGGTGCAGTCTTCTGAGAGCGCCCGGCGGGGGCCCCCGCAGGCCGAAGACTGCAGAGGACCTCCGCCTGCATCCAGCGGGGGCAAAAAGACACGCACAGACACAGTGCATCGTCGATCCCCCGGGACAGACTGGGAACTGGGAAGGGGGGGGGGAGGAGACGACGAAGACCCAGCAGAGCTCAGAACACACGGGGAGTCCTGGTGTGTGTGTGTGTGTTGTGTGTGTGTGTGTCTGGCTGCTCGTGTGTCCCTGGGCCCCCTTGCTGGACTTGCTCGGTGCGTTGCCTGTCCGGGGACCTCCCGAGGCCTCCCCTCGGGCCCTGCGGCAGGAGCTCCTCGTGGGCTTCGCGGGCGACGGGTTCCAGGGCAGCCTGGAGGAGCTGCAGCGGCGGCAGCAGAGCGGCCTCGTCTCCCCCGCGGACTTCGTGCGGGAGAGGCAGGCGCTCTTCCTGACGGTGCAGGTCAGGTGCAGCGTTGCACGCAAGTCGTTGGACGCACTTGTTCGGAACCCTAGGTCCCGATTTTTCTTCAACCGCCTTCCTGCTTCAGTAATCGATGTGGCTTGGCTGTCGTTTTCTTTACTCCTTGGGCGGGCCCGAACTCGATATGTTGTATCCGCCTTCCTACTTCATTGATGTTTCTACCCACTTCGACCGACGTGTAGAGTGATCGGCTCGAGGTTCGAGGTTGGAGGTTGTCGGGCGTTCCTCGTCGGTTCTCCGCGGCTGCGGCTGCCCAGCCTCAGGATGACTTCCCGCGGCTGCGCCCCGCCACGGGCGTTCTATGCATAGGGTGCCCGGACCGCCTCGAGAGGTCGCCAGAGGCCCGAGTTCCTGACCCGAGGAGCACCAGGGGGAGGCTCAGAGGGGTGGGTGCACGGACCCCCCGTCGCCCACTGATCGCGGGGACGCACGGACCCCCAGTCGCGCACTGGATCGCCGACTTGGACCCGACAGCTCGCCACGGCCAGGGCTGCGGGGATCTGCTATGGGGTGCCCATCGCCAACCTAACGGCGGTGCATCGCCGAGCCCAAGGCGATGGCTCCCTCCACGAGGTGGTCCTCCCCAAGCGCTCCCCCTCGCCAGGGCCCGATCCTGCCGGCGTACGGCTTCGCGGCCTCCCGGGAGGGGGTTTTCAAGATGATGGCGGCGATGGGCGAGTGGGCGAAGGACATCAGAGGAGGAAGAGGTGCAGGTACCACTGCTCGTCTTGGAGACTTGCTGTTGCCACTGCTGGATTCTTCTAGAATTTCTGGTATGGCAGCACCCTGGGAGAGTCTTGGGGACTAGCGAGTCGGCATATATGCTTGTTTCCCACATGGCCCATTCCGATCCGATCGATCCGATTCGATGTCGGGATCTGCTGGCCCACCCCGATCCCACTCTGGCACCCCGACGGTCCGCTGCGGCCGAGGCTCGCATGGCGTTGCTGTGCCTTTCTGGCGCGGCCGAGATCCGACTCGGTTCCGGCTCCGTGCCGATGCGGCCCGATTCGGAGCCTGTGCCGACCCTGTCCGATCCGATTTGCCGATTCAATGCTGACCGCTCCTGAAGGACTCGAGTAGGGGATCGACTACAGAATGGACTCCCCAAACAATTCTTTTTCGCGTCGAATCACGAACACATTCGTTATGGTGCCCGTAGGTCTGCGGACATTCTGCGCACTTGTGTTTGTACCTTCGACGAGGAAATCCATTCTGGGGTGACTCAGTTCTGTGGCCGATCCCCTAACCCCAGGAAGCATTTAAGAACCCCCCCTCCGGCAAATCGATAACCCTTCCGCACCATCATCCATATCATCATCATCATCATCATCATCATCATCATCATCATCATCATCATCATCATCATCATCATCATCATCATCATCATCATCACCACCACCACCACCACACACCACAATCATCATCATCATCATCATCATCATCATCATCATCATCATCATCATCATCATCATCATCATCATCATCATCATCATCATCATCATCATCATCATCATCATCATCATCATCATCGTGTCCGGGTGCTACAGCTATCGTTCGGTTATTTCGGTCCTTCGGAATATCGAATAAAAAATGCGGTGCTACGATATCGCCGGGGGGGTTCTTAAATGTTTCCTGGGGTTACTCGAAGGACCCCGAGTTCGTCCAGCTCGCCAGCGACATCAACGAGCCAGCTGCGCTGCCGCGCCGACAAAAGGTCGCCGCCGCACTCGAGCGCGCGGGCGCCCGGAGCGCGCAGAGACGGGGCCTGGGCGGGGGGGGGGGGCGGAGCGGCGGGGGCCCACGGGGTGCTGCGGGGGACCCACAGAGCGCCTTCCCCTCCTCCTCCCCCTCCCCCCCCCCCCTCCTCCTCCTCCCTCCCTCCTCCACCTCCTCCTCCTCCTCCTCCCCCCCCCTCCTCCTCCCTCCTCCTCCTCCTTCTCCCCTTTCCTTCCTCCTCCTCCTTGTTCTCCTCCTCCTCCTCCTCCCCCTCCCCCTCCTCCTCCTCCTCCTCCTCCTCCCTCCTCCTCCTCCTCCTCCTCCTCCTCCTCCTCGTCCCCTCCATCTCCCCCTCCTCTTGATTCACCCCAGAAGCGTCTTCCTCGTCGGAGCTACACGCAAGCCACGTCGAGTGTGCGCGGCCGTGCTGACTGCAGTCAACCCGCGTAGCAAGGATGGGCAATTTTCCCAAGGGTACCCTTGCACCGTTGCCTCCTTGGTCCATCCTTGGATCGAGGAGGCAAAGGTACGACTGCACCTCCTCCGATCCATAGATTTGGCGACCGCGCGCCGAATCCACGGATCGCTAATCCATGTTTGCGCGCCCCCTGAGACTGCAGAGTTGACTTTCCCCGACATCTGGCCTCCTCGCCGAAGTCTGCACACGAAGCACGCCGATGCTTCGTGGATGTGCCGACTAGCCTATTACGCATTTGTCATGGGTTCGACGAGGAAATCAATCGGTACAGTCAACGCGCATAGTAAGGACGCGCGCCTTTTCTAGGGTACCCCTGTGTCCTTGCTTCTGCGGCCCGTCCTTTGCCGTTTCCGTTGGGGTTTTGGTCGCCCGCCGCCCAACGAATCCCGATCTCGGCCTCCGAGGGTCTTGCGTCCTTGCCGCCCGTCCTTGATATACGCTTGCACTGTACACCCCCGTGCTCCCCGTGCTCGACCCCTGGGCGGCGCCAGGGGGCCTCCGCTCGCGCCACTGCGCTCCCAGACGCCCCGGGCGCCCTGGCGCCCTCGCTTCGGGCCCCCCCCCCCTGGGAGACCCCGACCCTTCTCCCCAGGGCCGGCTCTCCATCTCGAGCCGTTCTGCGGGGTTCTCCTCCCCCCTCCTCCTCCACCTCCTCCTTCTCCTCCTTCTGCTCCTACTCCTTCTGCTCCTCCTCCTCCTCCTCCTCCTCCTCCTCCTCCTCCTCCTTCTCCTCCTCCTCCTCTCTTCTTCCTGCTGCTGCCCTCCCTCATCCTCCTACCCCTCATCCTCCCCCCCCCTCCTGCTACTACTGCGGCTCACTCGCGCTGCTGCTCCACCTTCTCCTCCTCCTTCTCCTCCTCCTCCTCCTCCTCCTCCTCCTCCTCCTCCTCCAGAAGAGACGGGGGCCGGTGCAAACTGCAGTCGTCCAGAGCGCCGGGTCTTGCGGGATCCTGCAGGGCCAGGGGGCACCGACCTGGGCTTGTTCTGCAGGATCCTGCAGGATCTTGCAAGGCCCGATTGGCCCGGGTTTGCATTGACCCGAGTCCGTGCGTCCCCGATTCCCCAAGGCCGGTTCTTCATCCCGAGTCGTTCTCTGGCGGTCCCTGGGCTCTGCGGCCGTCGAAGACGCCAAAGATCTCTAGGCCTCCCAGATGGGGTCGGAGAGATGGGGTCGGATGTGGAGCCCGATGTTCTCCACGCTCACGGCGCCGATGCATCGCTGGCGTCGCCGATGAACCGCCAACATCGACGATGCGTCGCTGGTGCATCGCCGATGCATCGCCGATGCATCGCCGATGCAACGGTGATGCATCGGTGATGCATCGGTGATCTGGCGCGATCCTTCAACCCCATCTACTCGGACCCCATCTAGGACGCCTCTTAGGTCGTCGTCGTGTTTTTCGCACGGCGCGAGCACGTTTGGGCTTGAAGCCGCACAGGCTTCGGCCAGCTCGGGGCGAGCACGCGTCGCGGCGTTTGCTCTCCCAGACATGCTCGCGTCGCTGAACAGAACCCAGGACGGGAGGATCTCCCTGTAGTTGTCGGCCTCTGGAGGCCCTCGCCGGGCCCCTCCAGGGAGGACCGTGCGGCAGCGGCTCGGGGGGGGAACAGCGGGTCCCGGGGAGCGTGTCGGGGGACGTCCGGGGACCGCGTACTGAGCACGTGTGGGCGTCGCAGTTTTTGGGCGTGGCTCAGCGACGGTCCCCCTTCCACGCGGACATCGGCGCGCTCCGTGGCCGCATCGGGCGGCGCTCTTCGCCTCGTGCTCCGGGGCATCCGCGGACCTGGCGCCCACGCGGCAGATGCACGGACCCGTGGTCCATCTGAGCGTGCGCACGGTCGAGACAGCCTTTCACCGACGGCCTGCCCTCGTCTTCACCTCTTCGGGCCTCCTGGCGTCGCATGTCCGGGCTGCTGTCCTCGTCCTCCTCCTCCCAAGTCCTCCTCCTCGTCCTCCTCCTCGATCCTCCTCCTCCTCGTCTCAATTCCTCCTCCTCCTCCTCCTCCTCCTCCTCCTCGTCGCGATTCCTCCTCCTCCTCCTCGCTCCTTCCCTCCTCCTCGATCCTCCTCGATCCTCCTCGATCCTCCTCGATCCTCCTCCTCCTCCTCCTCCTCCTCCTCCTCCTCCTCCTCGATCCCCCTCCTCCTCGATCCTCCTCGCCCTCCGCCTCCTCCTCCCGGCCTGGGCAGGCGGGGGGCCCCCCCGCGCGGCCCTGCCCGCGAGGGGCCCGCCGCCCAGCCCTCCCTCTCGCGGGGGCTGGGCCTCGGCAGGGCGCTCCTCGCGCAGGGTCGGCCCCCCCTCGGGGCGGCCCCGGCGGGCGGCCCCGAGAGGCACCCAAAGGAACCCCGGCTTCGGGGGCCTCCTCCTCCTCCTCCTCCTCCTCCTCCTCCTCCTCCTCCTCCTCCTCCTCCTCTCCCTCCTCCTCCTCCTCCTCCTCCTCCTCCTCCCTCCTCCTCCTCCTCCTCCTCCTCCTCCTCCTCCTCCTCCTCGACCTCCTCCCCTCCTCCTCCTCCTCCTCCTCCTCCTCGACCCTCCTCCTCCTCCTCCTCCTCCTCCCTCGATCCTCCTCCTCCTCCTCCTCCTCGCTCCTTCCCTCCTCCTCGATCCTCCTCGATCCTCCTCGATCCTCCTCGATCCTCCTCCTCCTCCTCCTCCTCCTCCTCCTCCTCCTCCTCGATCCCCCTCCTCCTCGATCCTCCTCGCCCTCCGCCTCCTCCTCCCGGCCTGGGCAGGCGGGGGGCCCCCCCGCGCGGCCCTGCCCGCGAGGGGCCCGCCGCCCAGCCCTCCCTCTCGCGGGGGCTGGGCCTCGGCAGGGCGCTCCTCGCGCAGGGTCGGCCCCCCCTCGGGGCGGCCCCGGCGGGCGGCCCCGAGAGGCACCCAAAGGAACCCCGGCTTCGGGGCCTCCTCCTCCTCCTCCTCCTCCTCCTCCTCCTCCTCCTCCTCCTCCTCCTCCTCCTCCTCTCCTCTCCTCCTCCTCCTCCTCCTCCTCCTCCTCCCCCTCCTCCTCCTCCTCTCCTCCTCCTCCTCCTCCTCCTCCTCCTCCTCCTCCTCCTCCTCCTCCTCCTCCTCCTCCTCCTCGCCCTCCTCCTCCTCCTCCTCCTCCTCCTCCTCCTCGATCCTCCTCCTCCTCCTCGGTTCTCCTCCTCCTCCTCCTCCTCCTCCTCCTCCTCCTCCTCCTCCTTGCCAGGAGGGGGCTGATGACTACAGTGGACACCCATGCCAGGAAGCACCCTGCTTGCCTCAAGGGTGTGCCCCGGGTTTCTTGGGTGTCGGTGGTTCTGCACCAGACCCCTCTGGTACTGAGAAAATCATGACGGGAGGTTTTTTCCTAATTTCAGCCTCTGGGGGCCTTTGCCGGCCCTGGGGACCGTCAGAAAAATACTCAGGATGAAAGACCGGTCCAGGGGAAAGGGCTGGGACCTCCAGGGCTCGACGTATTGAAAAAAACATTACGTCGGGGGTCTGGGTCTGGGGGCGGCCAAGAGGGGGCTGATGACTACAGGACACCCATGCCAAGAAACACCCTACTTGCCTCCAGGGTGCCTCGAGTCTCTTGGGTGTCGCTGGTTGGGGGGTGGATATCATGGCTGGGGCCATGAGATCTCCCCAGATTTCATGGCGCCTCCTCTTATTCCGATGCGTCCCCGGCCCCCCCCTTGGGCCGCGCACGTGTCGCCAGCCATGATTTGCGCTCCTCCCCCCTCTTGAGCGCCCCCCTCTTGGCCGCCCCCGCCAGCTAGCCTCAACAGGCACCCCGAGTAATTAGTCCAGGGCGGTCTCAACACCGGAGGCGACGCCCCTGGGGCGCTCCGCGCCCCAGGGCTGGGGTGCTGAGACCGCGACGGACTGCTTGGAGTGCCGGTTGAGGCCAGCCGGGACGACTTCCTGGTGCCGTCGAGGCCAGCCGGGACTGCCTGGGGGGGGCTGTCAGTGCGCAGCCCGAAGCCTTCCCACTCGGAATGACGCATGTTTGCGGGGTTGGGGGCCCTTCTCCATAGGGGATTGTGGGTATTACCGTTGCTTGCTGCCTGCAAGGTGCAAGGTGGAGGGACTTCGTCAGGAAGGTGAGCACACTTTCGGTTCGATCCGTCAGGGGGCCCTCACCATGGCTCCGCACCAAGCGAGACCAGCCCACAAGGGAAGCAAGGGGCCGACACGCGCCAACCGCCGCAGGCGCGGTGGCGGACCTCATTGGTATCGAGTCGCCCCCTGAGACCTGGAGCTCGGGAGGTAACCTTGAAGGGTATTTCACTTGATCCCCCCATGCATCTCTCGGCAGTGGAGGACACGGGTCCTGAAACCTCACCGTCGCGGCGGAGCTGACTCTCCCTCCACTGCTGGGCGGGCCGGGCAATGCTTGGGGTGCCCCTGGACGCCCAACATCGCGAAAAGCCTCCCGTGATGATTTTGTTCACTCCCCGAGGGGGCCTGGCATGTCAGGGATCGCCCCGCCTGCCGCCCCGCGAGGAGCGCCGTGGTCAGCGCCTGCGAGCGCGCGGGCGGCGCGGCCCGCAGGGGCGCTGCGCCGCAGCGCCCGGGCGCCGGGCTGCCGCGGGGGGCCCGGCCGCAGCTGGGCGCGCGCCTGGGGGCGGGCTTCGGGCTCGGCAGCGGCCCGTTGGGGGACGCCAAACCCTCGATCTCTCCAGACCCCCCTCGGGCCATGAAAAAATCATGACGGGTTTTTGTTCCATATGTTCGACCTCTGGGGGCCCTCACCGGTCCTCGGGACCGTCAACAAAAACGACTCGGGACGAGAAACTGGTCCCAGGGAATGGGTCGAGACCTCGGGGGTCGACGTACTGGAAGAATCATGACGTCGGGTGTTTGGGTCTCTCCTCGAGGCTCCTCGATGCTCCTCCGCGATCCTCCTCGAAAGGGCACCCGTACCGCTGCCCTTGCCTCGTTTCCCCCTTTTTCGGGGCCTCCTTGGAGGCCCTCGTCGCCACCGCTGGATTCGCCTCGAAATTGTAGTCAGACTGCACCCCGGGAGAGGTCCGGGGAGTAGCAGTATTGGTACCTCTTTTTTTTGTTTCCTCACACGCTCGCGTCGTGGGTTTTTCGACGTTTTCGGCCTCCAGAGTCCCTTGCTGGGCCCCGGGACCGTCAAATATCGACTTGATTAGGATGAAAAGCTGGTCCTGGGGGAAGGATCGGGACTTCCGGGGGCCGCGTATTGAAAGACGCAGGACGTCGCATGTCTCGGAACTCTTGGGCGAAAAACGTATATTCGCGGCCTCGTGGGCCGTCTTTTTGGGCCGCGACCTTGCGGTTACGGGGTGTTT